GCCTTTTATGTTTCCAGGACCAAGGACTTTCGTTCTTCTTCCAGGCTTTTTCTCTGCTATTTTGGACACAAGAAGGGACTTCCAGCTTCCCCGTCGTCACTATCTCGGTGGCTTGTGTCTACAATTTCTTTAGCATACCAGCTTCATCACTTGACACCTCCTGATCACCTACGTGCTCACTCCACAAGGGCTGTTGTGTCATCTACTGCTCTTCTTCATGGCATTGATCTTCCCGATATTTGCCGCACTGCCACCTAGTCTCAGCCATCTACTTTTATTACACATTACCGGCTGGACATGAGAGCAAAGAAAGAGACCAGGTTTGGGAGAGCTGTGTTGGCTTCCGCCCTACAGTGACGGCCCTCCTGCCGGTGAGTTAGCTTGCTAGTCACCCTTTATGTGTGTATTCACAGAAGACCACAATGAAGAAAGTGGGGTTACTTACCTGTAACCAGGGTTCTTCAAGTGGTCATTCTGTGAATTCACACATGCCCGCTCAGCCTCCCCACTTCCGTCACTGTTTATTAGAGAATTCACTCTATTTGTGGCGGATAAATGGAACTGAGGCTTGGGCGGGCGGAGCATGCGCAGTGTAGGTAATGTTTAACTATGTTTCCTTTGCAGAGCTCTAGAAGATTCCGAAAGGGACCGACGCTGGCGCTGACTTAACCCTTTATGTGTGAATTCACAGAATGACCACTTGAAGAACCCTGGTTACAGGTAAGTAACCCCACTATTTATCAAAGTGTAACCTGAAGGTTCTGATGTTAAAAAAACAATACATAGTGGCCACATGCTTGCTATTTATATTGAATTTTATTTAGTCAGAGATATTTCTTGGAACATTTTTTTGAAGATTAATTGGTTGGAGTTGTTTACGGAAAGTTTCTTTTAGTCCATCAGGTTGTACATTCTGGGGGAAAAAGCCATGGAGTCGGAAGAAGAAAATACTGTGGCAGTTGGGAACACTTGTGGGTGCACCAGTAGGAATTGCCTTAATAGCAGGCATTGCTATTCCAGCTATGATAATCGGGATCCCTGTGTATGTGGGGCGTAAGGTAGGTTGAATTGTGTTTATTTTCACATGGAATCATTTTAAATAGGCAATAGCTTAACATCAAACACATCCGAAGTTTATTCACACCATGTTAAAACATTGGGCTTGTTAGATTCCCTTCCCCTTTTCATCTATTTTTCTCCTCTTGATAAATAATGATCTTATTCTTTCTATTAATGGTCTTTTTGTTAATTCTCTTAATTTAAGGCTCTGTCCTTATTTCTTGGGCTTACAATTTAAGAATGTCATCCACTGTATTACTTAGCAGTTTCTCTTTCTAAGTTGATTGATGCAGCTTTGAAGGTGGTTTTAGAGAGCTGAAGAACAGTGATCTTTCAACTTCGGTGTCCATGCCAGGTTGTCTGTCAGTTCCTGTCTCAGACAACATGGTCACTGTGTCTCATAGGCCAAACATATAATGCAAAGTATTTATTTATTTAATTTTATTTTATTTATATCCCGCCTATCTGGTTGGTTAAGACCACTTTATTTGCTTTTTGCAGTGGAATGTGCAAAGTATGGTTTGAAATTATGAAGGCTTGTGATCATGGTTGGATCCTTGTGAGACTTGGGGTGTGGATGGTAAAGCAATTTGTATGATGTCTAGGGTGGATGTACAGTGATGCCTCGCAAGACGAATGCCTCGCAGGACAAAAAAACTCACTAGATGAGTGGTTTTGGCAATGGGGTTGATGACTCGCAAGACGAATGTTCCTATGGCCGTGCTTTGCAAGATGGATGTTTTCCGTTTTTTGTTCCTGCCTCATGTTTGCTTATTTTTAAATGTTTTTCTATCATGTTTAAAAAGTTAACGTTTTTTGATTGAAATTTTTGAAATCATCTGCACAATATGTATGGCTTTAAAGAGCACTTAATAAACCCTTTGTAAACCAAATTTGACTTTGTTCCGACTTTTTTTGCCCTTAGGAACGCATTAATTAGATTTCAGTGTATTCCTATGGGAAACCGCGTGTCGCAAAACGAATTTTTCGCAAGACAACATTAACTGTGGAACGAATTAAATTCATCTTGCGAGGCACCACTGTATTTGAAATATCTTGATGAAGTCTATAAAACAGGCTGGAGCACATGCTAGTACATTTTTCATGCTTATTGAGAGTACAGTAGAGTCAAAAAGAAAGAAAAAGAATATCTCCATAGCCTCGATTGCCTCCTCAAGTGCCTGTCAAAGTGGTTTCATGTGATTTAGATTGTTTTAACAACTTCCCAAACAAAGAGATGCTGGAGAATTTTCTGTGGAGTATTTGCAAGGGAACATTCAGGTTGAAATAATATTTTTAAAAAAAGCAAAAAATGTGTGCTTCTTTTATACCGCCCCCTAGTGCTTCAAGCACTCTGTGGTTGGTTTACAAGTTAATTATCCAGGCTACACATGCCCCCCCAGCCAGCTGGGGACTCATTTTACCAACCTCAGAAGGATAGAAGGCTGAGTCAACCTTGAGGTGGCTACCTGGGACTGAATCCTGGGTTGTGAGCACAATTTTGGCTCCAGTATAGCAATTTAACAGTCTGTGTAGGACCTCATGCAAGGTTAGTTCAGAAGCTGCAACTTGTGCAAATGCTACAGCTACACTGCTATTTGAAGCACCCAACTGGGAACATATTACACAAGTACTAAACGGGTTGGAGCTGCCGGAACCATGTTCAACATGCTTTTGTTGACATATAAATCTTAGGACTTAGGACCTGTTGACTTTCTCTGCCTGCATGGTTATTAAGATTTGGTGAGCATGCCTTCTTGACTGTGTTGGCCCTTGCCAGGGGATTTCTACATGGCATCTCAGGACAGAGTACAGCCACCCCGAGGAATTTGCTCCTAACTCAGAAATGCTTGGTGCCTAGTCTTACCAGCTTTTATTACCAACTGAAGACCTACACATTCACCTAGACTTTTAGCAAAATCTGTATTGCTGTGTTTTGTAACTTTTAACTTTTTAACTTTTCTAAAAAGCTTTTGCAAGTTTCTTCTTTCTTGTTGACCATGTGTTTTTCTTTGCCTCTTACTGGTGGTGCATACCACTAGAGATTTTTTTATGGCGAAAATAGTGAATAGATTTATATGCAAGTTAACAACAATAAATAAATCAGGGACAAGGACTGTTAAATAAAAGATAGAGGATAACATATATTTGAGATAGGCAAAAGTCTAGGAAGCATTAGGAAAAAAACACTTTTGGAGGCAAGAAATTTTGACTTGGCTGGGACTGTTGTATGAAAATGCAAGAAATTGGAGATGAGGATATAAAAATGATAAATTGTTGCATAAATGTTTTCAATTAAACCTGCCATGATATGGAAGTCTTCAAATATTTTGCCAATTTCTTCATACACTCTTCAGTTTGAATACTTGGGGCCCTTATAAGAGCTATTTTGTATTGTTTAGAATTTTACCAAAAATATTTTCAGAGTATTCATTTAAAAATGACAAAAGCAAAGATAAGGGAAAAATTCTAAGTTTATAGCATTCCAACTGTGATGACCTAATTGTGCTTGCTCTAATTCTTCATTTTTTTCCTATTCTTCTAAAGATTCACAATCGCTATGAAGGTAAAGACATATCAAAGCATAGGAGAAACCTAGCCATTGCAGGTGGTGTAACCTTGTCTGTAATTGTTTCACCAGTTGTAGCTGCAGTCACTGTAGGTAAGTACAAGTACCAGCTAAAAGTTCAGGGGAAAAATGCTAAATAAGCTATTATAGTAAAACAAAATCCTTACATAGTTATACTGGTATAATGCAAACTGTGTCACGTTTGGTAGTGAATTGCCTCAAGTTAGGAGATCATTTTAGACATTGTTATGTATGGAGTCATATGACTCAATGTGCAACAGACAGGAAATCACTTTAAGACATTAATTTGAGGCAGTTGATCTCTGAAAGCTACACCATGTGTAATGCTGGCATAATTAAGCAAGAGGATTTGTGTTGTTATGTATGTTTGTCTGTTTTGCTGTAAATGTTTTACTAATAGGTTTTAGGGAATAGGTTTTATTTATTTATTTATTTATTCAATTTTTTACCCCGCCCCTCTAGACAACGTCTACTCGGGGCGGCTTACATCAGTTAAAATAAGTTAAAAAACATCTAAAATGCATTTATACTAATTAGTTCTAAACAAAAGGTTTCCAAGATGGTGGTATACAAAAAAAAAAGATAGATACTTTGACATGAGGTTCTTGCATGAAAGCCAGTTTTTTAAAGGTATAGATTATTAGTTCAATGATACAAGATGTTGAAACACAATTCTTTTTCCTGGTGCCCCTCCCAAATTATCTTTCAAAAATAGATTGAATAGGACCCACTCTTTAAAAAAAAAAAAACAGAGTTCAAAAGATCCGTATGTGCTCAGACCTGTATGGAGATCTTCTGCACATACAATCCAATACATTCCAGTGAAAAAAATAGATCCAAAGGTACAAAGGAGAGCTACTTCTTCCATGTAAAATGGAAAGGGAAGACATAGGAGGGAAAAATCACTATGTCTAACAGGAACTCCTGTTGTCCGGAAGGAGTTTGCAGGATTGGAAGTCATATAGATGTAATAGGAGCCATTTTTGGGTACTCATGGCAGGATTTTTAAATCTTGCTAATGCTTTTTTAATAACCTGTGGTGCTGTACAATTAGAAAGTGCAAAGTGATCATTTTCAAGTGTCTGGACCTGTTTACTGACTGTAGTGTCTTAATTTTTTTCTCTAGGTATAGGTGTCCCTATTATGTTGGCCTATGTATATGGAGTTGTTCCCATTTCCCTCTGTCGAAGTGGAGGTTGTGGTGTGTCTGCTGGCAATGGAAAAGGTGTCAGAATAGAATTTGATGATGAAAATGATATTATTGTTGGTGGAACAAATGCAACAGTAGGTAAGATACATTAATATTTTTGGTACTTGGAGTCCCCTGTAGCTGTTAGTTAAGATGCATAATACAGTGAGCCACAGCACAAAACACCACACACTGTTGCTTGGAAAACAGAATTCACCTCCAAGTCATTGAGAGTTCTTTTCTTATGATACCAAAATCTAGAAGCGCAATATCTTTCTGTCAGGAAATGAGAGGCTCAATTCTTGACTTACTGGGGCCATTTAAATTATTAGCTGCCTTAACAGCAGACTAATATGTTCTTTCTCTACTGAAGATATTTTAAGATCTGCCTTCCAGTGATTCCAACTCACAAATTACTAAGTTATACATCTTTTTAGATACTTCCTACTCCTTGCAGTGTGTTATTTCTGCTGATTAATGTTTTGCTGTTGCTTCTCTTGTGATATTCTCTGTCATTTTTTCTAACTTTTTGTTTGGAAAAATGTTGTAGAAAACTTAGGTATAAATCTAGTCATCTATTACTTTCTGAAGCTGCAGGTAGCATTAATCTTATTTTTGACCAGCTTCTGGAAGACAGTATTTTATATTAGCAGGTAATTCCTCCTGTTACGTTCCCTCCTTGAGTTCCCTCAGTTCTTGCCCCAGCTAGGTAGTTTAGTGTATATGTGCTCACTTGCACCTTCAGGCATTTCAGATCTACTGGTTTACGACCAACACTGTGTTCTTACCTGTGGGACAGGTGGAAAAGTCCCAACAGTACACAGACACTATTACAGTTGCTTCTCTATGAACAGTGTTCTTCTCTACACTGAAGATAGATAGATAAAACTTTTTTACAGTCAAAAGACCAGCCACAAATAAAACGTACACTGAAGGAGGTTCAGCCAAATACTTGTTAATTTCAACTACTTCCGCTTTCAAATTTAGATACTACATCTGTAGCAGAGGCCCGTCACAACCCTAGCATAGGTGAAGAAAGTGTTGGAGGATTGACTGGAAGCCTAAGTGCAAGTGGAAGCCATATGGACAGAATAGGAGCCATTCGAGACAACCTGAGTGAAACAGCCAGCACCATGGCCTTGGCTGGAGCTAGCATAACAGGAAGTCTGTCAGGCAGTGCTATGGTCAACTGCTTTAACAGGTGAGAAAGTCTGCTCTGAATGTCACATTTTCTGTGTATATTATAGTTGAAGGTGCCTTTTATTTTACTTTGTGAGTTGATTCTTTTATTTCTGACAAAATCATTATACTTTTTAGAAAGGCTTAAATTATTACAAAATGAAAAAATAAGTATTGAAATAATATTTCTTCCCAAGGTTGGAAGTCCAAGCAGATGTGCAGAAGGAGAGATGCAGTTTGAGTGGAGAATCAGGCACCGTTAGCTTAGGAACAGTTAGTGACAATGCCAGCACCAAAGCAATGGCTGGATCCATTCTGAATTACATCCCCTTGGACAGGTAAGACTGAATCAGTTGAAATATTTTGAGATATATATATAGAGAGAAAAAGATGTTAAACTCAGGTTTAACAAATCAAAAGTATTCAGGATGCAGGCAAAGATTTGTCTATACAGGTAGCATACATTAATTTTCCTGCATTGAAATACCTTTGGTATGATTGTAATTAGGCCTGTAAATTGTTGCTTACATAGTCTCTTCCTTACATGAAGAGCTTCTGTGTCATTAAAACAAACACATAAACAAACCACCATTGCTACACAGGCTGCCTATAAGTCCTGTACTGTACTCTGCTAAAGCAAGGGGTTGAGATACAGCAATCCAGTCGTGTCCTCCTTTGCTAGGTTTGTGTGGTGGGAGGGAGAGACCCATTGATGAGGAGAAGGTATATTTTGCATTGCATATGCTATGCGGCAATTTATTCTTTAATTTCCCACTTTACCTCCTTGAGAGAGGCTGGACTCGATAATCCATATGGTCCCTTCCAGCTCTGCAGTTCAAAGGTTATTATTATTTCCAGCTAAAATATTAAATGAGCTTTAAAAGAAATTATCTCTTGGGAAGTGGTCACTGCTGGATAGAATCCTGTTCCTAAGGTTACAGCTAGAATGGGCCCATTGCACCAGTGGAACTTAGGGAGAAGTTGACTCACAAAACCCCACTGATTCAGTGGGACTACTTTAGCTGCAATGTACTGTGGTAAACAACAGAATATCTTTCTGTCAGGAAATGAGAGGCTCAGTTCTTGACTTACTGGAGCCATTTAAATTATTAGCTGCCTTAAGAGCAGACTAATGTGTTCCTTCTCTACTGAAGAAATTTTAAAATCTGCCTTCCAGTGATTCCAACTCGCAAATTACTAAGTTATACATCTTTTTAGATACTTCCTACTCCTTGCAGTGTGTTATTTCTGCTGATTAATGTTTTGCTGTTGCTTCTCTTGTGATATTCTCTGTCATTTTTTCTAACTTTTTGTTTGGAAAAGTGCTGTTTGGAAAAAAGCCTCTATTTCTGATTCAAAAGGAATTTCTGTTGAATGTCTTACTCTGAATGGCTGGATGTACAGTAGGATCCCCATATCTGCTGGGGATTGGTTTCAAGCCCCCCCCCCGGAACTGAAAATTAGGAGATTATTCTATCATGTTGTTTGCCTAACAAATTACTGGTATTTTTCTTCATGCCATTTTCAAAATGCTGGTGTTTTGGGAAGAACATTGACTCAACTTCAAAAATGTATAGACAGTGAAGAATACAAGTAGTATACATTTGGATGGTCAGAAAGTGGATCTCAAGCTACTGATAGATCTCTGGCTCAAATGGGTATACAATAGAGATGAACCACAAACCTGACAAACCACGAATCGCTCGTCAGTGACCCAACGAACAACGAATCAATTCATCATTTGGCGGGTCTTTTGTTTTGTTTTTTGTTTTGTTTTTGCTTTTCCTCCTCTTGCCATGCCCCGGGGAAAGCACGGATCAAAGCAATCCTGCAGAACTTTGATCCCTTTCCCCTCCTCTTGCTAAGCCCCGTGGGGCATAGCAAGAGGAGGGAAAGCAGGGATGAAAGCGATCCTGCAGTGCTTTGATCCCTTTTCCCCTCCTCTTGCTAAGCCCTGCAGGGCATAGCAAGAGGAGAGAAAGCAGGAATCAAAGCAATTGCTCAGCCACAGCTGCGGGATTGCTTTGATTCCTTTTTTTCTCCTCTTGCTAAGCCCTGCAGGGCATAGCAAGAGGAGGGAAAGCATGGATCAAAGCGATCCACCCAAAGGTCTTTAGCAAGCCACCCAAAGAGAAAATCCCTGTTTATGCCCCCAAGGAAAAGGTCGACCGCGGGGGCATAAGCAGATAGGGAATGATGGGACAAATAAAAAAGGGTTATATTAGTTGTTTCATATTTGTTGGGGTTCTCTGGATCCTGAGAATATGAAGCAAGTAATATCTGACAAATCAGGGATATTTAACGAATATACTGGTTCGTTTTTATATACATTCCCATGTCTAGTATACAACTGTATAGTGTTATTTTTAGAGATCTCTGAAATATTTTTGAGTAAAGTAGTTCCCCAAATTTTGGTAACTACCAATACTTCTGATAAGGGAAAGTAAAACTTCAAATCAAATTCTAGTATAGCTGGCCATGTGTTAATTGATTATCTCTGAGTCTCAGAATGTTTTATTGGTAAAATTGGAGTACCTTGTGGATACTTTTGACCAAGTCTTTAGTTTTATGGCTAGGGTAGAGAGCTGTGTTAGAATCCCTCATCTCTTTGGCAACTGAGGGTCAAATACGATGAGACGACAACTTCATATTTAGAAGTGGAACTCTGTTGGAAAAAAAAAGGTAAACCTGGAATTCGTTTACAATCCTGATTCCATAGGCATGAAGCCCTGTGGAATTCTGTGTTACTTGGGGAAAAATTGGAGGAGGAATGTGCTATCAGATTCTAAATACCCTGTGTCTAGCTTGACATCCAGAAGTTTGTCATTATCACACTGTGAAGTTCATGGGGTACAGGATGATTTAGTAAGCTGTATGATATTTTCTAACCTATCAGTTCATTTTGATAAAGATACTTTTAAATTGTTTATTCAATTAAATTCAACTTAATTTAGCTAAGGTAAATTCAATGTATATGCTTTTTAATATGAATATGTCCCCCCTTTCTGTTTCCTAACTAGAGATGGCAGCAGTATGGAGGTGCAAGTAGACATTGAATCCAAGCCCACAAAATTCAGACACAATAGTGGAAGCAGTAGCGTCGATGATGGTAGTGCTGCAGGTCGAAGTAATGCTGGTTGTTCCTCAGCCTGCTTGTCAGAAAATAAATCTAGTGCCACCAAGTGGTCCAAAGATGCATCAGCAGGGAAAAAATGTAAAGGTAAACTAAGAAAAAAGAGTAGCATGAAGATAAATGAAACAAGAGAGGACATGGATGCTCAGTTGTTGGAACAGCAAAGCACAAACTCCAGTGAATTTGATTCCCCCTCTCTCAGTGACAGTATCCCATCTGTAGCTGATTCTCACTCCAGTCATTTTTCTGAATTTAGTTGCTCTGATATGGAGAGTATGAAAACATCATGCAGCCACGGTTCCAGTGATCATCATACCCGCTTTACTACAGTTAGTATTCTCCCAGAGGTAGAAAATGACCGTTTAGAAAACTCTCCACACCAAAGTGGCACTTCATTGCTTATTCCAGCTGCTCCGAGCTCAGAGATTCCACAGCTGAGTTATATTGCTGAAGAATGTGTTAATAATGGGACTGCTAATGGTGCAGATGTGGGTACTGGGGAAACACTAAAAGAAACAAACAACAACCATTCACAACATGCTGTGGAGTTAAATACCACAATTCATACTGAGATCTAAACCTCTTATGTGCTGCAGACATGTATTTACCACTAAAGAGCCCTTGTCAGGTAACTTAAGTGGCCAGCAGAAGCAAAGTTTTGATGCAATTTGCATTTTGTATCTCTCTATTTAGGCTTGTTTGGAACTCTGGGTGTTACAGAACTATGTGATGTGACATGAAGGTTTTAACAAGTGCATTACAATGAAACTGTATATTGACGTTTTGTATCCTTGCCATAACTTTGCTGAAGGTTTGTATTTGTATAATCAAACAGGGAGAAAAGCTGGCTTATGTTAAACGTTAGAGTGACTAGTTGTTGCAACTTCCAAGTAAAAACTCAGTGAGTTGATTTCTTGCACATGGAAACGTAACATCATGCTGGAATAAACTATATACTGACTAATTGCTGTAATCATACCAAATATATTTCAGTGCTGATAGTTTTGTCTGGAGCAGAATGTAACCTGTTTTAGATAATTCTGAGATACACATTTCTTCAGCAAGGTTATGGCATTTTGCATAACTTTAAATATGAAAAGGTACTTGAAATATAATAGTTAGCAAGATGATGTCTCCTTATCAAGATGGTGCAGGTCATTTTATTATGCTTTCAACTGACAGCAGAAGATAAGGTTTATGATAGCTACGTATTGCAAAGATTTAAAATCATTCTAAGTTGTAATCATTGTTGAGAATTTGATAGTCACCTTTCATTAGGAGACTTTGTTATGCTGTTTAATTCTTGGTGCCTTTGGAGAAGACTGGGGTTTTAAGTGCCTGGTCTGATGATTTCACTATGAAGTTTTCCAGAATGTTGTCCTCTGCCACCTTTTTGGAATCTAAAGAAAAATTACAACAGATCAACAGACTGTGGCAGATTAATGAGTAATACTGAAGTATTAGCCGACCAAAGACTCACTCAGGCTTCTAGTGGTTAACTTTTCTGACATCTCTTTGCGAGAAACATGCACAGAAAAAAGCACAGTGCAGAGCTTGCACATATGCAAAAGATGGGCTCCATGTGTGGCTGGCTTTTGGAGGCTTCCCATTTGTGCTTATGGATGCTGTTCAGCTGAACACGAGCTGAAGGTAGCTCAGGCACCTGCACTGTCAAAATGCTTGCTACACAGTTCATTATGATTCCCTGCTCTTACTACCACCCCACCCTGCAAAAAAGGGAGACATGTGGATCTTGGCAAAACAGCCTCCAATATTTTGTTATTCATTCTATTTTGTAAGTTGCCATTATGGTGCTACTGAAAGTTGGATGTGTGAGAAGCAAGCTGCCATGGGTTACAGCCCAATTCCCATGGCCTCCCCTTACTATTTTCTTTAATCAGCTTATAACACTAGTGCCAGATATGTTACTTTGTAACACCTGTTATGATATTTGTATATTTGTTGCTTTTTTTGCTCTCAAGATGTGTGTAAACTGCATTTTACCTGAAATAAATGTCTGAGTACTATTTTATTTGTTCTCTTGTTCTTGAAAAAAAGTTTATTATGCATCTACTTTATTGGTATGGGATGTAAACACAGTTTCAAAGCATGGTAGGTAAGCAATTTATATTGCATTTGTAGTCTTCTCTTCCATTGATCTGAGGTTTCTTCCAGTTGGTTTTAAGAAACCATACATTCTTGGTGGATTCTCTGCTTAGTTGAGTAGGTGATTTTGAAAAATGGGAAGGAATGGAATTAAGTTTTGATTTTCTACACTGCATGTAGAAGTTTCTGTGTTTCATCGCACAGAAATTGGGCTTGCAGAGAACTTGCCCATCCACCAATGCCCCAGCTGGAAGCTGGTGTGGTCCATTCCACTCTTCTGTCAAAGTGTTCTTCCTAACATCCAGGCGAAATCTCCTTTCTTGTCATTTGAATCCAGTACTTGAGATTCTACTCTCTGGAGCTACAGAAGGTAAGCATCCTCCATCTTCCATTTGACAGCCCATCAAATATCATTTCCCTTGCCTCCAGGCCAAACATACCTAGCTTGTTCAGCCATTCCTGAAAGGGCTTCGTTTTCAGACTTTACCACCATTGATGCCCTTTTCTGGATATATTCCAGCTTCTCTATATTCTTAAACTGTAATAACCAGAACTGGGTACAGTATTGCAGATGAAGTCCAAACAAAGCAGTGCAGTACTACTGTTATCTTCTCATCTGGACACTATAGTTCTGTCAGTACAACTAAATATTACATTTACTTTTTTGACACTGCATCACTTGACTCATAGCTTGTGGTCTATTAAACTCCCTAGATATTTTTTCCACATACACTAGTGCAAAGCCAGCTGTCACTCGTGATATTTATGATCTGTTTTTTCCTGCCTAAATGAAGAATTTTTATATTTTCTTTTGAAACTCCTTTTGTGTTGTCCTAGTTTTTCTGTTAAGGTTATCTTGGATTCTGATTCTGTTTCCAAAAACATTAGCTACCCTTCCAGCTTGATGACATCTACAACTTTGAAGAGCATCTCCTCCATACTTCATCTAAGATGTTCATAACAATATTGAATACTGTACTGTGATACTAATCTCAGGACTGTGGCACTCCATCCATCATTATTTCCAAAATGTTAGAATCATGGAGTTGGAAAGGGACTATAAGATTATTAAGTCCACCCCTTGTTCAGTGCAGGAATCCAAATGAAAATATATCTGATAGACAATTCTCCAATTTTCTCTTTAATGTCTCCAGCGTTAGAGGACTCCATCTGCCAAAGTAATTGGTTCCATTGTCATACTGCTCTAACAGGAAGGTTTTCCTGATATTCAAATGAAATCTGGCTTCCTATATCTTCAGCCTATTATTATGTGTCCTGCACTCTGGGATGTGCAAGAATAAATCCTGCCCTCCTCTGTATGACTACCTTTTAAGTATTTGAAAAGTGTTATCAGACCTCCCCTCTGTCTTCTTTTCTCAAAGCTAAGCATGTCCAGTTCTTCCAGTCCTTCCTCATAAAGCTTGGTTTCCGGTCCCTTGATCATCTTTTTTTGCCCTCTGAACTTGCTCCAGTTTGTTGTCATTGTTCTTAAAGTGTGGTGCCAGAACTAGACACAGTACTGAAGATAAAGGCTATACAGTGCCAAATAAACGGAGACTAGTACCTCACAGGATTTTGAGACTGTACTTCTGTTAATGCAACCTAAAATAGCATTTGCCTTTTTTGCAGCCACATCACACTGTTAGCTCGTATTCAGCTTGAGATCCACAATCCAGTATCCTTCTTGCTCATGGTATTACTGAGCCAAGTATTCCTCATCTTGTAACTGTGTTAGGTCTTTTTTCCTAGATATAGAACTTTGCACTTATCCCTGTTAAATTTCATTTTCTTTTTTTCAGTCCAGTGCTCAAGCCTATCAAGATCTGTTTGAATTTTGTTCTGGTCTTTCAAGGTATTACCTATTCTACACAATTATGTATCATCTTCAGATTTGATAAGTGTTCCTTGCAGTCCCTCATCCAAGTCATTAATAAAAATGTTGAGGAGCACAGGGCCCAGGACTGAGCCTTGGGGCACCCATTAGTTACCTTTCCCACTTTGAGAAGGAAACATTGATAAGCGCTCTCTCAGTACAGTTCTGTAACCAACTGTGCATCCATCTGACACTTGTTCTATCCAGCCCACAGCTAGTTAGCTTGCTAATCAGAGTATCATGGGGCACATTGCTGAAGTCAAGATATATTGCATCTACAGCATTCCCACTTACTACGAGGGAGGTTACCTGATCAAAAATGAGATAAGCTTGGTCTGGCAGGATTTGCTCTTGACAAATCCATATTGACCTAATTTACATGGATATTAGTACTTTGGAATAGAAATAATTATTATATGAAACTCCTCTGCAACTAATCCAAAATCTAGCAAGTGGGTTGCACTGTAAAGGAAGAAGCCTTACCTTGGGTCCCCAGATGTTTCTGGACTACAACTCTCAGAAATTATGGCCAACACAGCTAATTGTGAAAGCTTCTGGGAGTTTTAGTACAAGAATATCTGGGGGCCCAAGGTTGGGAACCACCGACCTAGTTAATACTGTTAGGAGCAAACAGATTCTCATATGGTTGTATAGAGATGGGGACGAACCATGAATTTGCCCCTGGTGACCTGAAGAACGACAAATCAATTCATTGGTTTCTTGGGTCTTCTGGTCCCATGCCCCCACAGTGTGCCCCCATCCCCTCCCCACTGCCCTGTCACGTCCCAATCCCTACTTTATCCTGCTGCCTCCTCCTGCTCTGCTGCTGCCTCCGCTGGAATGAATGTTAGGCTGCCAGAAAGATGGTTTCTGTTTATACCTATCTTCTGTTCCATTTTAAACATTGCTCTCTCTCTCTCTCTCACTCTCTCTCTCTCTCTCTCTCTCTCTGTGTGTGTAGTGTGTAGTGTGTAGTGTGTGTAGATTCCCTTCAGTCTGCATAGGCAGACAATGGAAGCCTGACCAAAGGGAATTCTCCCCAGCCCCCCACCCGCACTGTTTGCAATGACAACAAGGCTGATTTCCTTCTGTCAGCCTTCCTCTCTCTGGCCTGTGCAGGTATAGGCAGAGAGAAGAACGGACAATTATAAAAGGTCTATATTTGTCCCTTTGTATTTGCGGGGGTCTCCAGATCTCACAAATAGGAAGGGACAAATGTTCAACAAACCACAATTCATTTTTGTATTCATGCCCATGTCTATTCATTATTTAAATGTTAGCAGCAGTAATAGTAAATAAATGGTATCAGTAGCCACCCCGTTATTTTCTTCAAAGACAGTATTTGCCAATGATGCAAAGTTCTGAATCATCCTGATACCCAGGCCCGCATATCACTTCATAATACCACTATTAATCTGAATAGTCCCTTTGATGCAGCAGAAATATTTGATAACTGAGCTTTAAAATGTAAACACCTGTTTCATATTTATAAGCTAATATGATTGTGACATATCTGAGTAAATAGTTAAAATAATAGGACCTTTTGGAAGACATAATTCATGCCATTGTCATACGTCAGAGGTGACTTGATGGCATGTAACAAGTAGCTATGGTTCTTTAGTCTCACATTTTAGTCTTACTTGGTTCTCAGAGTCCACCAGGAAAATATGTATTTTCCCTAATCTAGTTTGAGAATTATATTGCATAAATGAGAACCAAGTGCTAGAAGTGAATAATACGAATTCAGTCCAGTTGAGGAAATATAGAAGTGCTATGTATGTAATTATCCATTGGCTGAAATCCTGTTGCATAAATTAAGGTGCACAAAGCTGATGATGACATCAGCCATGGCAGTTTTTCAGAAAGAAAACATTTCCAATTTCTCCCCCAAAAGTCCTAAGACTCCTGTGGAATCTTTTCATTGTTGGGAACCCTCTGAGGGCTATGGGACAGAAGAGGGAAGTTTTAATTGCCCAAGTTCCCCATAGCTACGATAACTTGACTGGTGGCACAGATTTTTTAGTAATTACTGTAAAAGACCTTCCCCCTGCTGTCCAGTGGCCACCAACAGCTTTCTACTGATGAAAGGGATTTTAGAGGAGCTTAAAGACCTTTGGCAGAAGAATAGAAAATGTTTTATTTCTGAAAAAAATTGCTGTGGGTGATGCCATAGTAAATCTTTTTCAGCAGGATTTTAGCCAATTATTTCATCTTCTGCACTTCAAAAATTGTTTTAGTGGTTTGCTGTGCTTATCTGAAAGTTAAGTTTTCCTTCTGTGTGTTCAGGTGGATGGTGATATTAACATGTAGTTATGGCTACCAATTTGGTTCCCATAGTTCTCAGTAGAAGAGTTATGGTTTGAAAACGGGTAACACTAATCAGGCTGTAAATTGGGTGGGAAACTTTTGATCTTTCAGATGTTTTAGATTTCAGTTTCCATAAGCCCACCAGTTGATGGAAAAGGGTTACAATGGTAAAGGGTTACAAGAGTTGTAGGCCAAAATATCTGGAGTGCCAAATGTTCCCCACTCTCAGGCTATGGCCAAAATCCTGTTACATTTTTACATGGCCATAACACAATTGGGAAATATTGGCAGCAAACTGCCATAAGCTTGATGTGTAGATGTTTTATTTCGTAAGTTTGTTTACTCACTGATACTTTTATGTGACTGCAGGGCCGAGGCTAGGAAAGAAGCTGCTGCCAAGATAGGAAAACAATCGTGCATGCTGTTCATACTCCACACTTGGCTAAATATAAAGCGTTGAAAGATTTCTTTTGGAGTGCACTAGATTTAATTCTGGTAGTTCCTGTTCTGGATTCTTCTTAACCAATTACGTAAACTTAGCATTGCTAACACTTTTTCTAATTCTTCTCATAACTACACAATTAAAACAGATGTTTTGAAAACCCTTTCTTGAAAGTCTGTACTCAAGTTTATTTGCATAGCCTTAGCTTTGGACCTTTAACCTCTCTTTCTGCTTTGTTTGCAGTCCTATATTTCTCCTGTTCTTCAAAGCGTAATGATGCTTTCTTCACATTCTGGCAATCTGCAAGGTCAAAATTTTTGCAATTATTTAGCAAGGTGGACAGGCTAAGAGTAACAAATTGATTTTACCCAGGTCAAAAACTTAAGGATCCCAGAAAAATAACTTTTTTGGACTATAGCTCCCAGGATATTCCAGCTAGCATGGCAAGTTGAAATATGGCATATCTAGTTTAAGTTGAGAAATCTACTATCTGTGCAAAGACCAGAACTCCAAGATGCCCCCAGGTAGCTTGGTTGGACTACAGTTCCCAAAATCCTCCCAGGCATCACAGCTAGTCAAAGAGTTAGACCTATCTAGCCAATCATGATTTTATAATATCTGTGCTAAATTTCAGGTCTGAATTTTCCCTTAATGGCTGGAATCCTTTTACATAACTTTACACTGCACATGTAGGATGACATGATCCCAAAACAGCCTAGGATCCACAAGATCTATAAGGTACTAACTTCTGTCAAGTAACTAGAGGACTCATTCAGCAAGGTTGTGATACTCATATTTTCCTGTATTTTAAAGTCTGAGATATGTGACAGTATGTACATTAAATTTTTAATGTGATCAGAATACTTGAATCAGGGATGAGCAGTGTGTATTTGTCCAGTAACAAATGTCCAGTGTCAGCCCTACTTTCATAGTCAATAGTAAAATTGAACACTTCTGCACCCCAGCTTATAGAGTATGTGTATGATGTATGTATACTCTCTGGCATCCAAACATGTTGACGTCGAGTACTCTATGCCAGTGGCCCCCAACCTTTGGCCTCCAGATGTTCTTGGACTTCAACTCCCAGAAATCCTGGGCAGCAGAGGTGGTGGTGAAGGCTTCTGGGAGTTGTAGTCTAAGAACAGCTGGAGGCCCACGGTTGGGGACCACTGCCTATGCCACTGTACCATTTCCTCTGTTAGGTCTGGGTGCTGTCAGATGTCTCCCATAGGTGGGGAGAGATTGGGGTAATTAGCTGTTGAACATTGGACTACTAGTGGCCTTATTTTAGCATCTCCTTTGGCTCTGAAGACCTCAGCAAGTAGTTTACTCATACTAATTTTCTGAAGCTTCTCTATTGCTACAAAGATGAGATACTTATTTTTAAAATAACATGGCTATTAAAAGGTGAAAATACATCGTATTTTATTGCAGCTGCGACTTTTTCTTTAACATTCTACAATTGTTTCATGGATTGCATTATCATGCTGAAAAATAAGAGCACGTGACATTGTGCACATGAGTAACATTAATTGTAACATGTAAGTTTTCATTTCTTTGAAGCAGATGAAAATCAGTGTTCAAGTTGCTAACCTTTATTTCAGACATGAAGAAATTTAAGTTTCCAGATGTTTTAGATATCAGTGCCCATATCCCCTTAACAGTGACAGTGCTAGCAGGGGCTTCATACTGGCACTTCTACAGTTCCAAGCATTTGGAGGGTCAAAAATTCTCCATCTCACACAATGTTTTACAAATTATCTGGCTGTGAGATTGGACAGCTCAGTGACTTCATACTGAGCAAGCTGCCGGAGACAGGGGCAATGTCATATTGAGGTTTGTTAGTGTCATGAGCAGTACCAGCATTGTATTTCTTCACATAGCAGTGAAGCTTGCTATTAAACAGAATGGCTATAAAGATGAGCAATTTTAAAAGGGAACTAGACAAGTTCACAAAATATGACAATGACAACTAGTCAGGTTAGCTATATATTTCTTCCCAGTATCTTACAGCAATATGCCTCTGTTTATCACTTGCTGGGGAACACTAGAGAAATGAATGTTACATATTGAGTATCGGACTGAAAGAGTAAGGTTACTTCAGTTTAAGATGGAAATCTAACAAGAGATCAAAGGATGAGTAAGCTAAAATTACTCTCAAGTTCTAAATGAAGCACCGTAGTAGCATTTTATTGTAAACCTATTAGCATTCCAGGACAGGACAAAACATACCACTTGCATGTCATATATCTCTAACCAGTGAAAGATTTTGAAAGAGCATTGCTCCTACCTTTTAAAAAACATTATTAAAAAACCCCTGCTCCCACTGATGATCAGCAGTGTGGCACAGAATTTAATAATTCAGGGGTCTGGTTTTAAAACAGAAGACATAAGTACATTCATTGCCAGTTTTTAGTATTTGGTGGCTAAAAAAGTCGTCATAAACTTTTCTAGTATTTTTACTGATACAGTATTGGAAAAAAGTAAGTAAAAAACAATTGCTGAGGCTAAATGGAACTGTTTAAACTAGAGGAGATGGAATCCTCACCTCAAATACCTAGTTAGATACAAAATTAATAGTGTGGCCTGGTAGATTGTTAGTTTAACATACATGGTCATTTAGCAGAGTTTAGTTTATTATGCTGCTTTGATTTTTTTTAAATAGCTTTGTACACATGAATTCACAACCTTGTACATTACAAGCAATTTGTACATATTAATATGTCTGATATCCTTTTTTATATATATAAATAGAATATTATATTTTATATTATATAAATAGAATATGGAGATTCATATATGGAGACTGAATTAGAATCTTCATTAACATTTGATTTGACTAGCTTGTTCAAGAGAACAAGCAACAGAAAATTGGTAATATAGTATTAAAGATACAGAGGGAGTTGTAACAACCAACCACTTTGAATAATAATGCACAAAACTCATGTCAGATAAAATAAAGAACCGAAATTGGAAAATTAATGTAGTTGTACTAAGACAATGACACAATAGTTTTGAGTAAGGATATGATTCAAAACGAGTTGTCCATAGTGGCTCTCGTGCTGTGGTCTCATATATCAGCTATGCTCAACTCCTTTATTGCATTTACATGACTTACTGCATATTTTAGCACATTGAGTGAGTTTTTATAATGTGAAATGTGGGATTCGAATGCTCCCTAGCCCTGCCTCATTCTGTCGAGTTGAGTTTTATTCGAAAAGTATAATTTGAATCAAAACAGTGGCTGAAATCTGGTAGTCACAACTAGAATAGGCCCACTGAATCAATGGAACTTAAGGACTAACCAGATCCCCACTGTTTCACCGGGCCTACTCCAGTTTTAATTTGCAACTGGACTTTGGCCAGTTAAAGCAAAGCAAAGCAAAGTGTGCTGCTTCAAGCACTCTCTGGGCGGTTTACAAGTTAAATATGCAGGCTACACATTGACACCCCACCCCCAGCAAGCTGGGTTTTCATTTTACTGACCTCAGAAGGATAGAAGGCTGAGTCAGCCTTGAGCCGGCTACCTGGGATTTGAACCCCAGGTCGTGAGCACAGTTTTGGCTGCAGTACAGCGGTTTAACCACTGTGCTACGAGGCTCTTACGTGGACTTAAATTGGTGGTGGACTTAAGTTAGACTTAAGATCAATTTAAGTCCACCACAAAATCTTGAGTTGATCCACAGAATATCACGTCTTCCTCCTGCTCTAACAATGGCACTGGAAGGAGACATTTATATTATTACTGCCACTGATCTTTTCTCAAATTATCTAGCCACAGACATGAACAGAACTGAGGCAGCAAAGTTTATAAAGGACACTGAACTGTAGTGAAGGACATGTCATATCTTCTGATAGGAAAAAAAAAGTCAAAGTTAACATGTATAGATTAAAACCAAAGATTTAAAATGGCATGTATAGTAGCTGGGGTCTATATTAATGCAACTTCTTAGTAAAATACCTTGGGCACTCATAGAGTGCATATGAAATCTATGACATTAAGGGACCGTGGCAGTGAAAAGGCAGGATCACAAATATATTTATTTTTAAATAACTTTTGAAGATTCGTCAACGGAAAACATGTCAAATAGGTAAATTCTTTGTTAATCTATATATAACATTTGAATCAATGGTATTTAATCAAGGAAAGTTACGACAAAATAATACCACCTTCAAAGTGGTGCAAGTACCTGAGCAATGCCTTTCATAATAAAATTTGATATACACACTAACAATAAATAGCTCATCTCTGATTTACAAATATAATAGTCCTGTTGCTACTGCACATGTTTATATCATGAATACTGCTTCACATCTGCTATCCACCTGTAATACATCAGTTGTACAAAACATATCTTTACATCCCGAGAGGAAGTGGTACTAAAGAAAATGAAAGTACTGTATACCTTATTGCAATCAGACAGCAAATTACTAATGTAGCCATACTATTAAGCATGTAACTACACATTTTTAGTATCACTGGCACAAGATAAGGAGAAATGAACCAGAGTATTCCTTAAAAACAATGTTCAATGGGAGCCGAACTGTTTGACCAATGAGGTGGATGGCTAATAGAAGAGAACCTTGGTTTGAACCCTAACCCTAAAATGAGCTGTGCATACTGGTGGCCATCTCACTTAGCAGGAAAAAGTGAAGACTATGCAAACTACACTGAAAATCCCTTTTGCCACAAGCCTCACTGAAAGAAATGCATGTTTCACTAACAGGGCTTACACTGAAGATGTTGTCCATCAACTGTGCTGCATGTGAAAGGCCATTTCTCAAAAATGTCTTTAGAAGAATGCCTATATTACAAGAAAAAGCAATACAACATATATGTAAAATGAATAGCTATACACAATCCCATCAATACACCTCAAACTAGTGAGGCATATTCGAATTATCAGAGGAGCATACTGCTTTACTGGAGCTATTGCTAGAAGATTGTTTACTTGTAAATTGCCTCTCTGAACTGTGACCTCACTAGCTCATCATCTACTGTTTAAAAGAAGGGTTGTTCTCATTTCTGTTCTCTCTAAAAGGAATGTGCAAGTCTGAGTATTGTTTCCAACATCTCCCTTGGTACAAATGTGCAACACAAATAATGAGTGAACAAGCCTATTAATATACAGTAGTGTGTGTATACAGTGGTGGATAAAATATATACACAAGATGGAAGAACATACTCATTTAGTGTGCATGTAGAAAATATGCAGAGTATCCAACAGTCCAGATAAAAGACTGTTGTTACCCGCATGCAAGTCTGCATAGTTTATATGCCTTTCCTGCAAGCATCAAGAGATTCCATGCAACAGGTGAAATATAAAATGAAATTCGTTAAAGTTCAAAGTCTCTCTTAAGGCTCTCCAGATCATCTAAAGAATACTCTTGGTTTTGCTCTTTTGCAAGAGAATCAAACAGCTGTTGAACCTGTTCCACTTCATTCCTACTTAGAAGAGTCCGCACCATCTGAAAAGGGGAAAATGTGTATGGTTAGCAATGGTAACTTAAGATAGCATTAACTAACATGTCTTTATAATGTATATGCTTTGAAACAGTTTACAATAAAGACATATGGGTGCTTACCTTAAATCTTTCAGCTTTACTCAGATGGACAAGATGCTGGTAGACTAGGCCAAGATCCTGGCAAAATACATCTGATTGTAGGGCTTGGATAAATATTAAAAATATATCTCCTTCTAGTTTATTGCTCAGAAGTGCCGGCAGATCTTCTGGCTCAATCATTTTTAATAACTCTGCGCAAGCAGTGATGTCCTTATTGGTGTTCAAAATATTTAAAATTTGACCAAATTCATAGGCATTTGATGGTTTAGAAATTACCAGCCTTTCTGGGCTCTTCAATAGCACTGTTGTTTCAAACTTTCTTTTAGCATTGTGGTGATTTACTGTAGCACTTTCTGAAGCACTCATCTCTGTGTCCTCTTCCTCATGTTCATTTGCCTTCACAAACAAAGAAAAACAATCTAGCTGTTTTTATATATATGCAATTATGAAATGCTAAATGTTTTATATAT